CCCCAAAACCCCAAAACCCCAAAACCCCAAAACCCCACAGATCATGTAAAATATTGGTTAAAGATCAGAATTAGGCTTCCTTGCGGGTAAATTAGCAAGCTTTGCTAATTTAGCCAGCTTTTTGTTTGACAAATCTGCGATTCTTTTAATAAAAACTTCCATTTCTCCCTGAGTGATGTCAAAGTTACACACTGGGATTTCAGTGACATTAAACTCTACCCTGCTTTTAGACTTGCTCTTTTTGGTTTTAGAACCACTAGCGTGGGAATCTCTCTTAGATGAATTATTTCTATGAGAAGATTTCCTACTAGACTCCTTCTTCTCTTCAACATTCTTTTTGTTAGTGCAGGAATCTGGGAACAATAGAGTGTTGAGCTCTCTATACATCGCTTGGTTGATATGCAAACTGCTTTCTGAGGAGAATCCTGTGGCTTGCTTTACAGGTCCGGTTCTGTTTGATAAGCTATTAATACTTACTCTTCAGAGCTTTCAGCGAGCATTCTTCTGTAGAGGACAAATTTAATCTTGTATTCCAAGTCCATGTGGTCGTACAGTCATTTTAAAGCTTGTTCCTTCGTATCATTAGTGATGCGGTAAATTTTCTTCATCTCTTTTGCTTTCTTTTTGGATTTAGACTTGCTCATAATAGTACTCTGAGTCAGATTCATGAAACCCTTTTCCCAAATTTTGTCCAACACATACTTATTAATCGCCTTTATTTTTATCCTACGCTTGTAAAACTGGTTTAGACGATCAGCTGATTTAGCAAAGGATAGAAAAGATGTGAACGCTGCATTTTTATTCGCAGCTTTCGTGAGGAAATCTGCAAATATATTCTTTGCTCTAATTTCAACGGGCTCTGCAAAGTAAGGCATCACTGAGTTGATTCCATATCTAACATGGTTAAGATTCCTTTCAAACAGATATGGAGCAAATAATACGATTCTACTTCTAAAGTTTCTCTTGATCCTATTAGCACAGTAAAGCTTCTTTTTCTCCAATAAAATTTCTTGCTTTCTGTTATAAAACTTTGTATATATCAGATTTAGAGCATGGTGTTTATCGTAGAGACGTTTCCAGAAGCCGTTGAATATCTTTAATCTATCATTAAGTTCATCTTTGAGCCTAGCTTTCTCTCTTAATTCTCTGATGATATCCCACCTATAAGCTATAATTGGTACGAGTACCTCTTGAGGAATTGTTTCTTCTAAAATATTATGAAATGGAGCTTACCTGCTTTAAATTCTGAAGAAACAGCTTTTTCTGTATAGCTTTCGCTTCCTCAATTCTTTTTGGCCGTACATTCTTGTTGTTTTCAAGTTTTTCTTGATGAATCTGCTTCCATTTGCCAGCAATTTTCATGTTATTTTTTAATAATGTCATCAAAGATTTCTTCTTTTAGAATTCTGGGAGAGGGCTTTGGCTGTTCTTCTTCATCTTTCTGAGCCTCAGCTTCATTTTTAAGGTCTTCTTCAATATTATATTCTTCCATTTTCTCCATTTTCTTCTTGCCAAGAGCTTTCTCCATTGTATTGAATTTAACGACAATATCAACTGGGATCTGGCTTCTTCAGAGTAGGGCAAGGTATGCATAATCTTTATCAAATTCCTTGTTCCTCCCTTGAGCCCAGATGCAGATCTTCTTTGGCTTATGATATTGATGCTCATAGTCAAGCTCATGAGGCATCTTGTTCAGAGTTGAGTAAAAGACTCTCAAGTTCTCTTTTGTATTGTACTTAAACCTATACTTTAGTTGTTAGGAATACCTTATAGTCATCGGAGAGTATTTATACTTCAGTCCAACCTTTCAGTAAATCAATGTGTCCTCAATGACTTCTATTCTAGTCTGCTGACCTTCTTCCAGCAGGTTATGATAGTTCCCATCAGATATCACAGTTGAAAGTTTGTATGAGAGGCATTTTAGCTGCTTCTGGGTGCTCTTTATCAAATTATTGATGGTCCCTTTCTCACTAGTGTCCTTCTGCTTCTTCTCCTCACTTACCTTCCTGAACTTTTGAAACTCAAGACTAGCAATTTTGTTTCTGGAATCTGTGAATGAAGAGAGACTACTGTTATTGTTCCTATCCCGATAATGAGAGTAAGAATTAATAAAGCTATCGTTCTTGTATCCGCTCTTGATCCCTTTAATCAAAGGAGAGTAGGTCCTCGGATCAATTGACCCATCAGGATAGGGATTATACGGATGATTCCTGGTTCTCTTCTCTTCAAACATCTGATGCTTAAATCCTTGATTTAACGAAATAGAGCTTTCATTATCGACAGTCTTAACATTTAGTGAACTCTTAATTTGAACTGACTTATTACCAAGATCAGGCCGAGTTCTCATACTTTTATTTGAAGTAGTCTTAGGTAGCTGGAGAGATGATTTAAGTACTCTCTTCTTAGTAGAGAACTTTCTCCTATCAAAGTATCTCTTATTCTGCTTAAAGTATTTAACTGTGCTGCTATCTTCTCTGAAATTACTACGCCTGCTAACACATCTCAATTCTTTCTTACTAGAGTCAGCCTAAAGGAAGGTAAGAAATTTAGCATTTAAAATAATTTCTTACAGATGGTCCAACATGTTTTCTTTTAAGAATGTTTCTCAATTTATTTAGATGACTTAGATACTTTCTTGTTCGAATTGGATAAAACATCTATAAAGTGTAAATAGAGGGTAGGAGAAAACATACAAATGTTGTGCTTTCGAGCGGCGTTTATTTTGTTAACAGATTTTGATAAAGAATTCATTTTCAATATTTATGATAATATTTGGGGTTTTGGGGTTTTGGGGTTTTGGGGTTTTGGGG